TCGAGCTATATTAATACAGTAGGAAGAACCATTGTGGAATTACTACTGTACTATAAAACAATAAATAGGGTCACTGTTACATCATGGAGTGTATTAACTGACATTAAATCATCTGAAATACTGTGTAAACCAAGCATGTTTTTAATTTATTTTGGTTCTTTGAAATTCATGTACAGTGTACAGGGGCGGATCTGGGTTCATTTTAGGGGGAGGGTAGGGGTCGGGGTCGGGGTCAGAATGTTTCCAAATCCCCAAAATGAAAGGGGGGTCCGGAAAATTTTGAATCCTAGATGGCAGGAAATGAGCTTTCCTGACTTCTGAGGTGTTTTTTAATAACTTTTAAGTTCTTCAAAATTCAACGTTTTCCCCTTCTTGAAAGTTGTCATCTACTGTATTGAAAAAGAAATTTCCCAAATCAGATGGAGAGTCCAATGAAGCTACAGTACAGTAATAAACTATAGGATAATATTAATTATTATGGTGATGCAACATAATTGTAATGAAACTAGACTGATAGCAGAATTGTTGATATTTATCTCTATTTAAAGTGATTCAGACTTGGAATTTACTACTGTACAGTGATAAACTAATCTCTACAGGTAGTATATTTCATACCAATTTTATGAAACTTCTCCGAGCTTTAAACTGGAATAAATTAAATCGTAAGACCTCTTTGACATACCATAGCTTCAGGTGCATGATACCCAAACAGGTACATGAAAATGGACCATTGTATGAACCCACGGGCAAGATGATGGTACAGTAGCTGAGGAGACACCAGCAACAACTGTATTGCAATGCATCAGAATACTTTGAAGATTATCCCAATTATGTACAGTACATTATAAATGCCAAATAAAACAAAAAACATAAATTCTCTTCATTGCTTGTATATTTTTTTTAATGGCTGCTCTCAAAAAACTTATTTATTATTTAACATTATGTAGCATACAGAAAATCCTGAAGAAATACAAACATCCTGAAGCACTCAGTACTTGCGTATCTGTCTAGATCTACAATTGATATGGGTAATGTCTTTATAAGGGGAAAAAAGAGCCTCATCCCATTTTATCTCCAAATGATGTACAGTATATGAAAGTTGAAACATATTTATATTTTTATTCGGCCAAACACTAATATTACAACATATATTATCAATTAAGTATTAATTTTCAACTCAAAATTTATAAATTGTTTCAAATTATAAATTATAATTTTCAATTAAGATTTTGTTGATAAGCTTCATTTAAAAATGCATCTAAACTTGTGTTTTTTTGGTTCATATTTTTCAAGTGAAGATGTTTCCTGATTAATCTTCTGATACTGTCATTAATTTTTTTTTCTAAATATAATCTAATTTATGTCATTCAGATTTTATCTATTAAGAACAAAAAAAAATACTGTATCATCATTTTTGATGACAATCATATCAATCATTCATGATAAACTATGTTTCCTTGACACATATTATACATCAAGATTGTGTCATCATCCATTTCCTTTCTTTTGTTTCACGTTCCTCAAAATGATCTTTATAAATAAAGAAAAAAAAAATACCTTGCTTAATTTATGATTATGAATACATGTATGATGACTTGTACAATTCTAATACCTGGGGATGTTAGAAAAATGGATGGATGATACCCAAATATTATCTGAACTGTCATTTGAATGGTCTGGTTTATATGTGGGCTGCACACCTTTGAAAAATGTGGAGGAAAGGTTCAATCTATTGAACTAATTTTTTTTTCAGTTTTACGGCGTTACTTCACGTTTTTTATAATTTATAAAGTAATACAGTTGACTGCAGTTTAATTAGGATTGTTATTTCTCTTTTTTAATTGTTTAAATGTTCCTCCATTGTTTGTTACAAATGACATTCTATGAATAAACAGATAACTTGTGACCTTTGATTATAAATAAGAAATACTTAAAAAAATTGAAAATCTATATTCAAAGCAAGAATTTTACCAGTTAGATTATGTTTATAGGGGGCGCTATTTACTATACTGTGTATTTTATGTTTGTGATGCTTTAATTTTTACAGATGAGTTAAGTTCCTTTTTATCTGTGGTTTTAAATTGAACTGCGATGACCTCATCTTCCTTCTCTCATTCCGCTTCCTCTGCCTCTCTTTATTTCCTATTTACTTCCTTCAGTTTACGTATACTTTAAATCACTCACTTAATTTTTCTTTTCATAATTAATTAAGATTATTATGTTATATTGGAATTTACTTTATTTATTTTTAAACTATTCTTCATTTTGTAATCATTAATATTTAATAGTGATTGATAAGTTAATCAGTTCAAGATTTTTATGCTACATTTTCAACCCCTTTAGAACATAATCATGTCTAATTTATATTTACATTTTTTTCTTAAATTTGATTGATACTGTAAGCTGATTATTTTCATATATTTTAAAGGTTATTTTTGACATGTAGAGCAAAAAAGGGGCACAAAATTAGAACATTAGAGTTTCATTTTCAAGAATTTTTGCCTAAGATGCTGAGTAACTAATTTAATGTCACGTTATAAACTCATCAAGTGCTCGTCAATTCCCTCAATGATGTTTCTTTTATCTGTTTTGTTCACTTCATGTTTCATCTCCTAGGACCTCATGTACTTTGTAAGCGGTTTCATATTTTTTTTTTTGCTTTTTTTGTGTTTTCTTGCATCTCTCTCCCTCACGCAATCCCTGCATGCATCAAGTGGTAAACTGACTCACAGATTTAAGTGCATTTTGGTTGAGTGTTTCTAATAATTGCAACATTATTTGATTTCTGCAGTCCTCCCTTTTGCATGCGAAAATAAAAATCTGAGATTTAAAACCTGTTTATACTTCAACGATAATGATAATGATAAAAAAGCTAGAAAGCAATTGTTCATATAGAAAATAAAAGAAATAAGAGTATTTTTGACACTAGAACGATTCGATAACGATTTATCAGTTATGCGATAACATATTTTGACAAATCAAATCAGATGACGTCATAATCATGGAAAAACATTAAAATCGTAGTAGTAGCAACGATTTTATCATTTTTCCATGATTATGACGTCATCTGATTTGATTTGTTAAAATATTTTGTTATCGTATACACGATAAATCGTTATCAAATCGTTCTAGTGTAAAAACTTCTCTTCTTTCTTTTGTTTTCTATATTAACAATCGCTTTTTAGCTTTTTTTATCATTATCATTGAAGTATAAACAGGCCTTTAGTATCAATTTCAATAGTATATTTGATTTTATTCTAGAGTTGTATCCTTCATTCAGCTGATTATTATTATATAATGATAATATTAGAAATTAAATTTCTTCTATTTATAGTCTCCTAACTGTAACATAATGTCAGATATTTTATAACAAAGTTTCTTCCAAATTCAAATTAATTGATTTTGTATTGTGTTTGGCAGTATTAATTTTCCGCTCCATGTGTGTGTTCTGATTTGGAAGTATACGTGCACAAGTTTGCATAGGTGATAGCTAAGTTTGATGTTCCTGCGCTTAACTTTTGTCACACAAATTCACACACATTACGGTTTAAATAAAATGATTAACAATTTAAGAACAATTTTGAAGTGTTTTTTTTATTTAGAAGTTTTTTTAAAAGAAATTTAATTTTGATTTAAGTAATCTTGGATGAATGTACTATAATTATTATAATGAGCTGTAAAAAAATAACTTATTTAAATTTAATAATTAGATGGGTAACACTCAATAGTTTGTTTAAAGAATATATTGTAAATAAGTTTCTAATATAAATAGATTAATGCATAACATATTACGTTTTTAAATTTATTTCTTTGCTATGAATACAGCATTGATTCAAGTTTGGCAGCCTTTAAGTATAAAAATTCTCACTAATTTTATTCCCAATTGGTCTAGTACCCTGACACCGTCAACTTCCATAGGCGTCTTTTGAGGCAGAGGGGACCCATTACACCGGGGTCCGGATGCACTGACTTGTAAGACTGGATGCTTAGGGCACTTTAGTGGGAATGTTCTAATTGTTGGGTGACCAGAGCCAATTAATACCACCCCAGCACCTGCTGCGTATGAACTCTAGGCAGCCTTTTGATTGACAAAAAATCATGAGTCAGGCATTTTCAATCACATTTTTGATCTTGTTTTTTTAAAAGTTATTTCATAGTTTTAGTTCTTAATATATAAAAAAAACACCGATTTAGATATATTTTCTTAAAATCTAAACTTATAATTTTCAAAAATATTAAAAATAATAATAAGGAAAATGTTTTGCTGAAATATCTGTCATATTTAAAACAGCCATCCACAATCTTTTCATTAATACCTCCCTGAAAACACCTTTCTTTTCCTGATTTGCATATGATTTCCTTTAACAATATCTACTGAGAGTTGCTTACTAGTGTAAATTTCCGATCATCGTCTAACTGTAATATTAGGATGTGTTATGCAATTTTCTCTAATGCGTGTGTGTATTTTCAAACCTTCTGAGTTGTAATACTATATCTGAAAGCAGTGTATAAAGTATGTTGTCTACCAGAGTATGTTGGCCTACTGATATATGAATACAGGCAACTGTTACATAAACATGATCTGCCATCATATTATTCTACTGTATGTTTGGCTCATTTATATACTGTATATTCATCCTCTTCCTTTAATGCCTTTTTTAATTTATTACATAAACATTCTTCGATTGGCCTGTCAGTCATTTACTTTAGCATGTAGCCCTATTAGGAATATGGTTTAAGTTCTGTCCACACTAGCATCAGGTTTTCTGTGACAAATCTGTGATTTTTGTCACAGAAAACTCAATAATGTGGACGGACCTGTGTATTAAGAAACTACAATATGTATGAAATGGCCCTTTACAGATTCTGTGCGTTATTTTCTGGAAAAAAACTGACTGGTTAAAGAAATTCAAAGTTAATTTAATTTATCAATATATACTTTATGTATTTGTGCATTGTTTCTTTGCTGAATCTGATAAATTCTGTTTATCTTTTTGTAGGAAGCCTCACTGTATACTGTTAAGGCAATTGCCATTTTGGACAACGATGGAGAGCGACTCGTTGCAAAGGTGCACCACCAGGGACTGAAAAATTGCAGTTTGATTATTGTTCTTTTTAAAATATTTTTTTAAATTATTGGTACAGCTTATATAATGCTTAAATGTGAAAAATAATGTGGCTATATGAAAATTATGATAATTTCTTTAACAAAGTTGAATATAATATTTTTTATATATATTCATAATTATTAATTTTTATTTATTTACACATTACATACAGTAGTATGCATTCAATACAGTAGTATTCAATGTACTATACAAAGTATGCAATTCAAATATTTAATATAATTGTACAAGTTTGATAGATCAAAGAGTATATCTTTAATTATTAATTATTAAATGTTTAATTATTTGCAAATTGTAATAAATAGCAAAAACAGGTTGTAAAAAAGTATACAACAAATTTAGCATGTAACAGCTGAGCTAAAACATCATTTTCATATATATTATAAGTATATACCTACTTTCATCAAAAAAGAATGAATACTGTAAATATACTTGTTTTTATTAATGTATTCTCTATCTTTTTAAAATGATTTTTTTCAGTATTATGATGATACATTCCCAACTACAAAAGAACAGAGGGCATTTGAGAAGAACCTTTTTGATAAGACCCATCGTGCGAATGGTAAGTGAACAAACAATGATACTTATGTTCTCCCTGAAGATAGTATGTCTGTCAGTCAAGCAGATTATAATATAATGTTGATTGTGATGTGTCCAAAAACACAGAAACAAATGCTGATTGACATGTGGGTGCTGATTGATGGATCAGTTGTTTCATGATGTAACAGGTTTTGAAGGTATTGTTTTACTCATATTTTTTAGGGGTGGTAAGAGCATAAGTTCAGCAGTTGTTTTTATCATCGAAAGATGATTTTTTTGTGTGTGAATTTCAAACTGTGAAGATTTGGTTGTTTTTTTCACGTCTTATTCTGTTTTTCGAACTGCAATCTCTTTATTAAGTGTTCACTTTCCTTAAAAAAAAACTTGTCATGATCACCTTCTACTCTGTCATGATAAAAAAATTCTTTCACACATTTTTAGAGGAGATATAACATAATACGGTTGTGGTTTGATTTTTTAAGGGCCATTACCATATAAAAATATACTGTCTTGAGCAGTTAATAATTTTTGAAAGAATCCAGAAAGTTTTGTGGAGATCAATAAAGATGTACCTGCCAATCAACTGCATGGTATGCCTTTGGCACTGAGTAGTAAGATTTGCCTACACTTTCTCTTCTGCCATGTCTTGTTGGTAAATCCCATTTGTAGCAAAAAAGCTTTGATGTAAATTGTCATTATAGTGATAGATTTTTTATATTATACACAAATTTGACATGATATATTTGTTGAAATGGTTTGACATACTGGTCAACTGCCTATATATGTTTTATTTGCCCTTCTTCTTCTCTCCGGTGTACTGTGAAGAGTGAGTGAGTCTTGAATGTTTCTAAGCTGTGAAACAGCTTCTCCATTTATACTGGGCTTCTGTGAAAATTTTCAAGGGATGGCCATCTCATCACTCCTTTTGTGAAACAATTTGGCCTAAAAATGTTTGTAGCTTTAAAAATTGATTATGATTTACGGTTCTTAAAATATTATCTCACTATTTAGGTAAAGGTATTACAAAATGCCAAATCTGGTGTCCAGTACTATGGGTTGGAGGCACCCACTTCATGATTTCAGGATTCTAGGTCCTGCATATTCTACAATTGCTTGTCATGACTAATATATATATATACACACCTTCACTGTTTGATAAGAAAGAAATATATGATTATTATATATATTGTGACTGAAATAAGGTCAGTATTTGAAATATATACTATAAAATAAGCTATGACAAGAGTATCACCTTGCATTGTTTTAACTGATTGAATTTATTCTAAAAATCATAACCTCAATTTGCTTTTATTAGTGTTTAATAATATTATCAACAGGTTAAAATAAAATTCACTTAGCAAAAAATATGTCCAACTTTTCTCCCGGGTAAAACACTCCTACGCATATGTGATTCATTATGTTTTTAAATGTCAACTTGTATAAAAGTTGCATCCCCTGTGATATTCCTATGAATATAAGCTATTAATAGCAATTTTTTTGGTGTTTGTTCTGATTGATTGGTCTAGTTTTGTTAGAAAGATTCACGTTTTCTTGAAATGTCCCATCAGTTTTACTTTCTTTTTTAAGTCGCTCACTGGGAGAACAGGGACAGCTATCAACACTTCGATTCCGCACATCAAACTTGATGAAACTTTTCTGACATATTCTTATTAGTAATTGTTAGTACAAAAGGCATCTCTCCAGTGAAAAATATACTTTTAAGCAATTAGTATAGTTGCATATCATATACTATTGGAAATTATTATACGAAAGTTAGATTAATGCATGAAAAAAATTCCTGAGGGAATTTCTGTCATGCATGACAGTGGGTGCGAGTGACTGTCCTCTCTTTCCACAGAGAGGACAGTTGTAGTGCTAGGTGTAAAAACTAATTTAAAGAATATGATCTAGAACAATGACCAGATACAGTGCAGTCATACTGTACATGAATATAGAAGACATGACCAAACAATACGAAAAGGTATGTTTGCACCCAGAATGTTGATTTCTAAACTAAAACAGCAGTAGATTATATTAGATATACTATATATGGGTAAAACAAGTTCTTGTACAGTAATCTCAAAAGTTCCGAAGTGGGCAATATAATAAAGGCAAGGCAGTAGAGAATATTAGCCCTAACGGCCGCCCATACAAAAAAGATATATTGATCAATCAGGCGAGTGATTCTAGAGCCCCTTATCGGAGCTGAAAATAACTTCCTTTATGGTTTGATAATACAATGATGTACAGTATGAATAATAAATGGTAGTAATTAGTAATAGTAATAATAATAATAACAGTTAAACTAATGCTGTAGCAGACAGTAGTAATAAAGATTAGCTGTAGCTTGACATTTTAGGTGCTTTCCTTCCACCCCAGTGTCCTGTGTTAAAATCCTACAAATATCAATTTTTTTTTATATCATAAAATTAGCTCCACTTCCTAAGCTTTATATTGAGTTTTAATTTATAGAGTATAACACAGTTTAACCCTTCCTGTAAAGTGGCGGGTCACTCCCCTTCAATTGAGAGTGAAATTAAATGGAGGATTTAATACCACATACCAATTTAATTAGATGATTTCCAGTTAATTACGTTGTCTGCAATTATTTATGAGAGATGGTTCCTCTATGGGAAATACAAGAAACAAAATTAGGCTTATCTATATTTGGAATAAAAAGCAACTAAACAGTTACTTGTCAGAAGCTGGGTCCTTGGGTCCTGAAATTACAAGGTTTGAAACCTGGATTCAGGGATTGGAAAACAGGCATTATGTGCCCTTCTCACCCAAGAAACCTATAATATAACTCTAGGTTGAAGCAGCAAAATTTTGATCAAGGTTTTGGTAATTATGTTATACATTACACCACTTAACTTAAACTTAAGGTCATACTACTGATTCTTTGTAGTATATATGTCTTGTGCAAAGAATTACCACTTTCTATAGAGTTAGACAGAGATTAATTTGTTTTTGGCTAAATAAAAGAAATAATAAAAAATATAAGGTAGTGTATTTATTTAAAAAAAACAATCAATGTTTTGAGATAGGTATGTGTAAACTTAAGCATTCTCACATAATATAATGTTAGTCTTTCTTTTAATTTACTTCAATAGATATAGCTCTTAAAATTACCTTACTGTAGCTAAGTAAGGAAATATATTTGAAAAATATAATATGTGGCCATGCTCTGGCAGAACCGTACATTTGTTGACATTTAAAGTTTAACGCTAGCAGCCAAATTTCCCTTCAAGTATTTTGACCAATTTCAGGTTCTTGCTCTTTATGCTATAGGAGATATCCTACCAAATATAAATTACTCCAGGTCTACAGTAACTAAACATACCTCAGTATTAACATACTGCCTTAGGAATCTTAAAAATTGTTTTCTCAAAATCTACTTGGCTGATATCCAATGAATTGAATATGCATAACTTCCCTAATTCTCATCAAATATATGTGTAGTTGAAATGTATGAAAAACTCCATTTGATTTTTTCAACAAATATAAGGTTTGCCAGAGCCGGTCATATATATATATATATATATATATAAAATCAAATGAGTAGGTGGCTGTATCGCCTTCAGTTAATAAAACGCATAAAGAAAAGTATAGATGAGCCGTAACTTTTAATGGTAAAAACACAAACGTTTTCAGTTTTCAGGCATCGTCCTCTATCAGATGGTACAGATATAGAGAAAAGCAAGAATAAGCACAATCAATGTGGACATATATATATATATATATATATATATATATATATATGTAAACAATATTGTTTAATAATATCGAATAATATCGAAATATACATGCAAATGTAAGGATTCATATGATAAACTATTAGGTTTCCTTGAAAAACTTTTGACAAGCCTCAATCTGTGAGTGAGTGATTTGATTTGTCAGGTGAAAGGAGAGATGAAGATGATGGACAGAGAAACGTGTCAAGCCCTCAACACCGGAAACCATGCATGCTGTTATGTTTGCCCCTTTCTTACCAACTGTTACCTCCCGTCAGGTATCCCATTAACTCATTAACCGATGGGTCAGTTGGGTATGAAACCTGCTTGTTCCATACACCAAGAAAGTTCCTGTATTTAGTTTTTCTTCTAAAACTTGTCATGTATAATTCTGAATTTTATTTGATAATAATACAAAATTGTTGGACGTTCGAGAAGGTGTGAATTTGTATGCTAGTTTTTTTTTTGTTTTTGTTTGGGTGAAGGAGTGAGTTATGTTTGCATGGCAGGTTGTGAGTTATGGTATCAGGTATGGTATGTGTGTATTGGTCTGTCATTTCCCACCATCATTTATATATATGTGGTATATATTACTTACAAATCTAATGACAGCTTAAAATGTGTAACTCAAAACTAGAACCGTCTGAACCATTTCCTATGAAAACTGGCACTCTCCGAGAGCTTAGCTACTTGCAGAAATCCAACACCTACTCTCAAGGAAGAAAACTCAAGAATTATTGTTGGAATTTTTTCCACGGATATTCAGATCTGTATTTAGATGACGTGTCAGTGTTCCTGTTAATGGTGTAATGGTGTTTGTTTTTATGGGATGTTGCATTCTTCCTAAGAAAGATGTTTGTAATGTGGTTTTGTTTACAGATTTTTGTTGACCGTATTTTTAATTTTTTTGTGTGAGAATATTCAGGAAATGATTAGGCTCCCCAATGGAGACTATTGTTTTTCTCCAATGTACGTCTTCATGTTGTTGATAGTAACTTAATTGTTACCTTCAATAACTGGAGTGAGTTGTTGATTGGTTTCATAGACAGCAGAATGCAAGATGATTTGATGAGAACACATTTTCAGTCAGTCAATCAATCGTTCCATTTATATGGCGCCATTCCAACATTCATTTCTTGTGGCGCCGAATTTTGTGTTATTTTAATAAGGAATATTTTTAAAAAGAATTGTCCATCATAATAACTGCTACTGTATATGAAAAACCAAAAAAGTAGTTATTGTGATATTTCTGTAAGTATGTAAGCAAAAATTTTGTGTACAGAATTGT